GCCCATGCCTCATTGGACCTTGTTCTGTGGCCAACCAGCGGGATGCTGCTTTCAGTAACGAATTTTACGATATCTTCCTTGCTGGCGTCACCCTACGGTAGATGCGCAGGTTCAAGAGAGCTTTTAAATTTCTCTCCGATTTTACCCGATTCATCGACTTCTGTTTTGCCTCATACTTTGTCGTTAACAGCTCAGGTAGCACAACGACAATTTGGCTTTCATCCGATAAGGCCAAGTGGTCTTTGACGCTTTTGGAGAATGAAAAGAACATTTGCCTGAAATGTTCCCTCAGCTCTTCGCCTAACCGTGGGATACGGTGACTGGTTTGCGCTTGGGTGCAGATGACCATTAAAGCTTACCTGCTTCCAAGAAATTGTCGTAAAGTGCTTGCTTCTTGTTCTTGAAAAGGCCTATAACTAAAGCTTCGTCATTCTTTATCTTCCTTAGTTGTTGCGGCTCCGTTAGTTCTCGTATCGCCGGCAATGACATTTCTTCCATGTAGGATACAATTCCTAAGTAAGGCTTTTTCGACCGTGACGTTGCAGGCAAGCAGCTGCGAACCATCGGTATGCCTACCGCCGCGGTACTCGTAGGCGCGCCCGTAGCGAAATACCTTCAACGTGGGGTAACCGCTGACTTGGTGATCCGTTGCGAGTTGGCGTTCTTTCGTCGCGTCCACTTTGGCCAACGGAATGGCAGGTTGGCGTTTTGCCAAACTCTTCGCAGCTTTTTCGTACTCCGGTGCCAACTTCATGCAGTGGCCGCACCTACATATGCAAATGAGATCAGTATACGGATGTTCAAGTTGTTCAGTCGCTGTTCTATTTGCTGAACAGGAGCAGCAGTGTGTTGATAAAACATTTTACACGCTTTTCGCCAGATTCCAAAGCTGGTAGTGCTGACTATTCAAATTCTACTTTTACCGAAAATAGATTTCGAATAGTGTTGACACAACGAAAAGTAGATAGGGAAAATATGCCTCTGCTGATGTTGTCGAGCTAGATAAATAGAGCAAGCTGTAGCTTTTCCTTAGCGCGGGAAAGCCTAATCAATGAAAGTTCATTATAGAATTTACTTTCAAAGGTCAAAAGTCGTCAGAAGACCCTTATAAGGCACCACTCATTCAAGACTCTGTTAACAAAGCTGATAAAATGGTTTACTACTTTTACGCAGCTATTCTTTCACGCATAGAGTACTCCCTCGTTTTGAAGCCTACGAATTGGTCTATTGCAAACAGATACATTATTAATATGATGTGTTTCTTGTTTGTATGGTGAAAACAGGGCCAAAAAATCTATAGGCAATATGCAAATTATTTTAAATTTCAGGCATACTGTAAACAGCAGAATGCAGGTTTCATGCTTTAAGCACTGTATTAATGTTAATACATGCTTCGAACGGATGAGCAACTTGTTAGAAAAAAATAGAAGAAAATCCCTAACGTCACTGAAGATGCAAAAAAGAGCAGTTCGGAAACGTACGGTAACATTGTCTTCAATTAACATACCTCGAACTTGAAAATCACAAGTCGTGACGCGCCATAAACTACATATATAAAAAGTGCCCTAGAATAAATAAGCAATGCGAAAAATAATCGCTGCGGCCTCACTCGATAAGCTGAGATCATTTTGAGTTCCGCAATGGCAGTTCAGGCAACAGATTCACTGCTAGCTTCGAAAGGGTACGATCAGCACTTTTAGGAGTACCTTGACCTCATGATTTTCTTATTAAGGTTCATTCCTCAACGAAAAGAGCTCAAGGCAGAACTATGAAAAGTTTTCCCTGGCTAAGAAATTCCTTAGGATCTCAGTGAGATGACAAGCTGAATTAAGAAGCGTTGGAACTATAGCTATACCTTAAAACATGCCTTTACGATCTAAATGGATTTCATACATTTTAATTTCACAGGTGGGACAAAAATTTCACAAAGCTTTTGGGATACTCCTGATCCCATCTTCGAGCTAAAGACGGGATCGGGACTGTCCCGAAAGCTTCGTGAGAAATTAAAAACGGATTTGTATGCAAAATAAAAGACTATAGCTGATATCTGCTGTTAACAGAATTACGGCTAATTCTGCGTATGTATTTACCTTCTACGAAGGAGAACCGCTGAACTAACTTTCTAAATTTGCTAACTACAAGCAAAACGCAGAACTGCCTTGTTTCAAAGGTTGTCTGAAATGAAGAATCGCTTACGTGGGTGAGTAGAACTCAACCAGCATAATGGGTGCATTGGACACTACGTCCGTAAAGTTTTCCGACGTAAGTGTTACGACCGCGTCCGGAGGAGGCCGGTAGGTTGGATCAGCTTTTTCGCGTACCCACGCAACAATTCCGTCGGCATCGCGATCTCCGTCGTAATGCAAATAAGCGCCGTCTTTCCAAAATTTCAAAGTGGGATATCCCATAATTTGTTCCTTTTTCGCTACGGCGGGATTCTCCGTGGCGTCCAATTTCGCTAATGGAATTCCCGCAATTTCCTTTAACCGCTGAGCTGCCTTTTCGTATTCAGGGGCAAGGCGCATGCAGTGGCCGCACCACGGAGCGAAAAATTCAACCAGAGCAACGGGATGGCTTTCAAGAAATGAATCGTAGTTTTCGTCGTTCAAAATCACCACTCCATTTTCTTCAGGATACTCGTCGTCATTAGGCTTACCTGACACGCAGTAGGCAAAAATTGAAATGAACAAAAGTGTACTCGAACGAATCCACCGCATTCTTTAAATGAACGTCTGATGATACTTGTTAAAGCTGAAAGAAAATGTACCACAATATATAGCACCGCGCGAAAAACTGTATGACTGGAAATCAATGGTCCCTTACGTAATAGTGATTTTCAGGTTCCTTAGTTCGCCACGCACCAAACATTTCATGAAAATAGGAAACGGAGAACATAAGTAATGCTGATAATAAGCAGCGTACGCACTGTTGCATTTAGAGCAATAAATCTTTTCCAATCCAACAATTTCTGATCATTTTTTAATTTACTGCAGTTAAGCACAGTTTGTAGGCTCCATAGAAGGCATACAGCTTTAAAGCAGCCTTGTCAAGTTGACGTACGTCTACGCCGGGTATGGCTGCCAAAAAACTCTGAAAGACAAGCTTGAATCACCAAACTTGGCTGCTTTCTCCAGTTGCCCAACTTGGTGTACCCCACCTAAGCTTAAACCAAAAATGGAGAACGATGGCGTGCATAAAGTCCCTGTGTTTAGATTCAGGCTTAGGTAGCGTACACCAACTGTAAGGAACGGGACAAAGTAGTCAGTTTTGGTGATTCCGGACTTTTGACCTTCGGCATTTTGAGCCGCGCCGGTCTATGTCCACCGGAAAGGCTAATCTTAATTGTTAGTCCATCCTATTACCTACCGCGCGTCCCATAACACTGAGATCTAATAAGAACATATTAAAACTATAAAAGAATGCACACAACGAAATAAACCAATACAAACGATACGAAGGCAAATAAGCAGCTCTGTTTTGTACTCCCTTGGCTGTCACTTAGCGCAACCTTTCGAGTCAGCATCGCTCTACGCGGTGTCCCATAGTAAGTGAAAGGAAAAGCATAAGCCCGTGTGGCCTAATGGATAAGGCGTCGGTCTCCTAAACCGAAGACTGCGGGTTCAAGTCCCGCCATGGGTGAAATTCTTACCAATAGAACGCGGGGAAAAATTTTGCATAATTGATATTTAAAATGCTATTGATGGTCATCTCGAAAGAACGTTGCCCAAATCGTTTCGTCTACATAGGTGAGCTGAGGCTTTCCAAAAAGACATGGAATAATTCCCAAATGGCAGCAGTACATCAAAGCAGTGAACAACTTAACGCTGAGCATTCTACGCCTTATCGTTTCGAAAAGGGAAAGACATACTCACGCGGCTGAAGAAAGTTGGTGTTTCTAGCAATTTTCTACGGCAGATCACGCCTATTCTCCTCGAAATGTTTTGCTTTGTTTTACTGAACACAATCTGAACGAAAAGATTAGACAGTCTTTCTAAAGCGGGCATCTCAAATATGCGGCGCTCTGCAAGCGAACCTGCGCTCCATATAAAGGATACTGTAACCGCCAAAAGAGCGGTTTTTGTAATTTAAACTGCGTAAATGTGGGTCATTCACGGAAAAACGGAATGCTTTTTTTATTCAGAACGTTTTTTGCACTTTGAAATGGTCCGTGACCTTTTGATCGATTTCAAAAGCACAAAGGAAACAGCGGAACGCAAGTGTGAGGCAATCGACTTTTTAAAGCTTCTAAAAATAGAGACACGATGTTAATTGTTAACACTCTGCAGCGATGAAGTGAGCAGGTAACACCACGTCTATTTTTAGAAGTGGGGCACGCCTGTCCCTCTGCTATTTGATTGGTTGTCTGCGGCGGGCACGCTACTCGATGGCGTCATACAGAAATTGTATTCTCTATGACCCTCGAGAGGATACAAATGTGACCCAT